TTTTTTTTTTTTCCTTGACCTTTGTGCCTTTGTGGAGAGGTTTTCTAGATTGGCCAGAGACTTTGTTTTTAATTCTGTTTCCTCATCAGGTGTTGCAAGTCAAAAGGAATTGTGCTGTGTAAGTTCTAGGCCTCCCCCACTGTCCCCCTCCCCAACCCCCACTAAAGAGACTCTTCTATTGTCTGTTCTATTTCCCTCCTCCTACTCACTCTCAGGGAGGAAGGACTCCTGTTTGGCTAAGTACACCTCCATCATAAAGGGACGGAGAGAGATTTTAAAAATTGCTTAAGCAGTATTTTGAGAAAGATTTAAGGGTTTTGGAAAGAAGCGTTCTGAAGCAGCTGCAGGCAGAGGGTGAGGGCAGCCCAGAGGTAGGTAGGCAGATGGGCCTCCTTTGATGTTCTAGAAAAATGCAAAGACTTAGGTTGTTCTTTGGTAACTGTTCCCTGTTTGGTTTGAACTGGTGATGTTCAGAGACCCTGTGGGATCCAGGTTTATGAGCCTCATGGTGAAGCAGAGTGTCAAGTTCAGGGGTTAGACTCTCTGGGTTCAATTTTGGCCTTGGATAAATTACTTAATGTCTCTGGACTTCAGCTTCCTACTCTGTGAAATGGAGCCAATAGAACCTTTCTCTTGGTATTATAGGAGAAAATCCATGCAGCATTCTTAGCGCAACGTGAATCACGTGGTAGGCACTCAAGGTATCATCCTTATTTTCAAGCGTTTGTCGTGGCTGTTGAGCAGGGGTTGGGATGTCCTTTTAAGAGACCTGATTTGCATTTTTGGTGGGGGAAGGGGCAGGCCATATCCCAAGCTTCAAATGAGCTCCCCGCCTCCTCAAATCCCCATCATTATCAATGTCTGTACCTTCATTTTGCAACATGGTTGTAAAAGTGGCAAAGGGGATTGTTTCCTAATTCCCAGGGACCACAGGTGAACCAGACCACAGGGAGCACAGTCACCTGTCTCTGTCTCCCACCTATGACATTTTTGGAAGGTCTCAGTTCCTCTCCCTTCCCCATCCGGGAAGGACCAGCCTCTGAATCTTAGTTCCTGAGAGGTGCTGAAAGTTGGTCCTTGAGCTGGGTGGGTCCTCATGACTACAGAAGGACCGGAAAGTTGCCATGGCAAACAGGCAGACAGAACCTTTCCCTCTCCCTTCTGCTGGCCTCATTCCAGGGAAGGTGTGTGAGATGGGACAGGCGCACTGCCACCTCCAGCCCAGGGAGCCCTAGTCTACCCCTCACCTGCACAATCATGTAGTAGAGAAGGAACAGGAGGTAGATGACCTCTGCTGCTACCACGAAGGGGTGCCAGCCGTCAGTGAAGGGGTACAGGCGCAGGCTTTGCAGGTTCGCATGTGCAAAGAAGGTTCCTGGGAAGCAAAACACGTTCTGCTCATTACTGGTCACCTGCCTGCTCAGAGCCACCGCTTCTGACCGGAAGTCATCTGTGCCATGATGCAGTCTCAGGCCCTTCTTAGGACTGGCCAGGGCAGAAGAGAAGATAAAGGTCCTTCAGACCCAAAAACCCAAGGGACTGGACAGGGACACACGGGGGATGCCAACGACAATGCACTTGTCAGAAAGGATGCCGGGAGCTGCACGGGGAGAGACGTCCCCTACCCTCTGCATCTGGTAGCCTCCATTTGTGCCCTCAGTCACCTCCCACTTAACATTAATCTGCTCCAGGCTGGCTCACTTTTTTTTTTTTTTAACTTTTTAAGTTTATTTATTTTGAGAGAGACAGTGTGAGTGAGGGAGGGGCAGAGAGAGAGGGAGACCAAGAATCCCAAGCAAGCTCTGTGCTGTCAGCACAGAGCCTGACACGGGGCTCGAACCCACGAAACCGTGAGATGATGGCCTGAGCTGAAACCAAGAGCCAGATGCTTAACCGACTGAGCCACCCAGTTGCCCCAAGGCTGGCTCACTTAAAGCCAATTCACCTAAAAAGAGTTCACTAAAGACCGATTCATCTATTGACCAATATGCCTAAAATTCAACCTTCTTTTGAATCACCTTTCATCCATTTGTGTATCTTTTCTTTTTGGCAGATATTGTAATGATATTTTAGTTATCTTTTAAGAAAAAAACCAATCTGACTAATAAGGCTACTGCCTCTGAAGACAAAGCCAACCCCAAGAATGGCAGAATGGAGAGACACAAACAACCTGAGTCCTTGCCGACATCGGTGGACTGCTTGAACCAACCAGACCTGACAACCACCCCTCACTTTTCATCTTTTAGAAACATATAATTTAATCAGGTGTGTTTGGGAACAAACTGTTTAATTGGTCCTAAGAGCTGCAAAGGTGGCAAAAAGAAATAGAATATAAGTATACAAATAACCATCCCCCCATAAGGATGTGATAGAAGTGCTTCACGATGTTGTCAGTGGCCAGTGATCATAGAAGTTGAAGGCCTTTTGCTTTTCACTGTACACAGTTCTGAAATTTAAAGAACTATAGACATGTATTATTTTTATTAAAAATGTAATTTGATACTAAAAATCATTTAATTTTTAAAGGAGAGGTGGTTGAATTTTAGGAAAATTGATTTATTAGCTGAAGAGGCTTTAGGGCCGCATTTTCAGTAGATTTTGAAAGCGTTAAAAGAGGGAGGAGGGCAGGTAATGGGGAAAAAGATCAGAGCACAGTACATCTAGTTCAGGGAAATGTTTTTGAAGCTCTTGTGTCTTACGTGTATTTGTGTGTCTGTGTGTTGGAATATGATGTAAAATGTACTTCATGCTGTAGGTTGAGGTACAGAGTAGTAAAGTATTATTTTAGATGAAATTATCTGTTCCCAGGTTGCACCCTCCCCAGCTCTTCCCTGCCAGCCCCTCAACCTGCCTCCCCCAGATTGGGAAGCTCAAGAATATGAGATGCTTTCAAACCCCAACTGCGTTCCCTTAGAGTGTCTTGGGAGACAGGCCAGAGAGAAGTGAGGGCAACTAGGAATAAGGCTGGTGCAGCCCTGGAGCCTGGCCTTTGGGTGCCCGGGGACAACCAAGACCCGCCCCGAATCTCCCAAACAACCATTTGCCCTGGAGCTCTGGCCCTGGGGCAGCGAGGCCCAGCCTGGTCAGGAGCCCTGGCCCAGAGGGAGGGGCGTCTGTCTTCCAGAACGCAAGTGGGGTCACAGGCGAGGCTGCCCACCCAGGGCGCCGGTCTCCAGGGTCAGAGTGATGATGCAGAACAGATTGACATTGGCGTTGTAGACCGTGAACTCCACAAAAACGGCTCTGGTCAGGCTGTCCAGCCAGGTGTTGTCAAACAGGTACTGGAGAATTCTGTAGGAAGAGGAGTAATTAGAGACACCTCCATCTGCAGTGGCTCCCTACCCGCTCTGCCCTGGGAGAAAGCCAGAGCTTCCTGTGGAAAATTTTCCCTCTGACTCAGCTCCGTGCCCTGGGCCACAGGGCCTTGGGACTGCTCCTGGGAGTGATCACAGTTTCCCCACCCATGGTGCAGTGTCTTGGCACCCATGGTCTCCTGGCTGTCAGAGCAAAGGTCCTCCAAGTGTGGTCCCCGTACTGCATCCGCCTCTTGTGGAAACTTGTTAGAAATGCAGATTGCCAGGCCCCACCCCAGATCTCCCAAAACAGAAACTCCGGGGGCAGAGACTGGGGATTTGTGCTTTAATGAGCCCTTCCTGGGATTGTGATGCCTTTTTTTTTTTTTATTGTGATTCTTTTTAAAGTTCAAGGATCACCGAGTAAGAGGAAGTGCGTAGAAAATCAGGGGCTTAGGTAGTCAGCCGCCGCTGTTGAAATCTCTCTTGGGCTGGCAGTTCACATAAGACCAGTTTCTGGAGGTCTGCCCACTGCTGCTGCGGAAAGAGCGTGTACTACATGGACCTGGGTTCAAACCCTGACTGCCTTGCAGGCAAACTAATAACCTCTCCATGACTCAGTTTTCCTCCTCTACAATGGTGTTGACACCACCTTGTCAGGAACATTGTGAAGAGAAAGTGTGTGTGTGTGTGTGTGTGTGTGTGTGTGAGAGACAGCAATAATGATGGACTATTTTTAAACATTTTAAAACATGCCCTGTCTCCAGTGGGTCTGTATCCTGCTTGGTGTGCAGAAGAAAGAGTATCAGTTGTTCCAAGTGGCAGGAAAACACCTTTTGTGCCAAAAGAAACTATCCCTGACCTGTCCTTAATCCCAGGGGTCCCCTGCCAGTGGTTCTCCTTGGGGATTTGTTACCAGTGTTCCTCGGTTTTGTAAGAATACAGGGAGGAGACTGAGGTTCACGTGGATTCACTAACTTGCCTGGGTCTGCAAAGTTAACAGGAAACTGTGCCAGGGTTTAACACCTCTGACGCTCGAACTCTCGAGTGTGCCGGGAGAGGTGGTCTGCATGTGCCCTGCGTGTCCTTGCACCACCATGTTGGGTGTTCCAGGAATGCAGGGTCCTCTCTGGGCTTTACCCAAGCCATTTCTCGAGGCTGTGTTTATAGTGAGCAACCTCAGGAGACGAAGGTGAGATGGCATCCTTCGGACAAAGAGCAGGCTTGCTTCTGCTACCGTAAAAACAGTGAATGCTCCCAACTCTGTGTTATTCTCTGGTCCTGTAATTCACTGTGCATAGCAGAATTCTGGGTAAGGTGAAGAGCCTTAATCGCTTCCCATCTGCCTGGTGGTGGATGGCTTTGTGTGGTTGGTGGAATTCCCCATCCCTACACTGGCTCCAGCCGAGGCCACCGGACTCAGCCCACGAGCCTGAGGGTGCTGGAGAGGGACCTCCCCTCCACCTGGGAGACTGCAGTGTCCAGGGGCCTGAAATCCCATCTGCATACTTCAGAGACCCCCCAGTCTCTCCCCATAGCAGCGTGAATGGACTTGGCTACACCCCCCAATCAGACCTGGACTCTAGCACCTGGCTTTCCTTGGCCACATGTGAATCAAGTGAGTCTTACCTCGATGTGCTTCTGCGATCGGTCCCCAGGGGGGCCACGTAACCGCCTCCTCGGTACATGGTTAGTTTGCCCCAGAAGGGATACCCTCGGCGCTGGCTCTGGCTCTCGTACTGCCAAGCCCGGGAGAGGCCGCTGCTGTTGTTGAGGACGGAGGCATTCCAGCCTTCCCCATAGTCTGACAGGTCTTCAACATCCAAGGAGTAGGGTGCGCGGCACCCATGACGAGAAGCCTGCAGCTGTGGGGCACGAGAGCAAGAGCTTTCCCGGACCCTCACTTGGCGAATCTGGGCACTGCCAACCAGCCTGGAGTTGCCATCAGTGACAAAGCCTGGAGATGAAAATCCAGTAGGTCAGTGTGGCCATCAAAATCATTTTCGCGCATTCCAAGTTCCCCGGCCTGGACGCTAACATGAACTTCAGTGTAGCCATCGTGAAATAGTCAAGAGTAGTTCATGGCCAACCATAGGACACATTCACCACCATCTCCCTACTTAGGCGTCATCCAGTTCCCACATAACTTCTCTTGAGGAATGGTACGGCCCCCATCCAGTCATCACCTTGGAGACCCTTTGTGCCCTTTCCCTCAATGCGCACATCCCAATCGTCAACAAGGCCCGTCAACTCTCCCTCTTCAGTGTTGTCTGCAGCCATGCCCCTCTCTCCGTCACCCTAGCCCCTCACTCCTGCATCAGCCCCATCATTTCTCCCTAGCATCCTAACTACTCTCCGCTTCAACTTCCACATGATTCCAGAATGATCCTTCTTAAACACAGAGTTGGTTGTTATTCTCTCGTGGAGAAACTGTCAGTGGCTTCCTGTTTGCTTAGGCATAAACTGTGGACTTCTGAGGCCCTTCATGATCTTGCCCCTGTTTCTGTCTCCTGCTTTGCTCCTCACTGGTCCTCAACTCCTAGCCTACACCCAGTGCCTTATAATTCCAGGAATGTGCTGTGGCGTTTCAGGCTTGCCTTTTCTCATGTTACCCCTTCTGCCTGGGTTCTGCCTCCATGTAGCCAATTCGTGCTTGGTTGTCTCTCGTTCAGGAAGTCCTCCACTCTGCACCCAGGGAGCTTTAGGGCTCCTGTCTTGTGCACACACAGCCCTCTGAGGGTCACTCCTTCAAAGCATATCGTCCCGTGGTTATCGGTTGTCTGTAATGCTGATGGTGACAGTGACCCATGCCTGTTCTCAGGAATATGCACAAGGGGGCTGACACACGTCCTGGGAGAGGGGAGAGTACCTGGGTAGTGACTGTACAGGTTGCTCACGAGGGTGGTGTTGGCCCATGTGAAGAACTCCTGGAAGCCCAGCACGGCCGAAAAGCCTTGGGTGAAGCTGTGCTCGAGGTGTCTGTTGAAGTGGTAGGTGCTAGGGTCCCTCTGCCCGTAGGCGACCAGCAGCAGCATCCACAGGAAACCCAGATATGCTGGGAAGGGAGGCATAGCCCTGGTCACACAGGGGCCCCAGTCCCAAGCCCAAGGCAGGAAATAGAATGGCGCATAGCAAGGCCTTGTAGACCAGCTACTCACCAGCCCCCCCGCCTCCCCCCAGTGACAGTGGAACCAATCCTTAGACAGCAGAAAGGAGTAAAGTCCACAGACCAGAAGCCTCCTGCCTGGGTTCCAATCCTGGCTGTGCCACTTCCTATCCATGTGACTTTCACAAGTGACTTACCCCTCTGCCTTAATCTCCTTGTCTGTGAAATGGGGACAATTCTATTCACAGGGTTGTGATGAGGGAGTCAATAAATTAATATTTATAAACCACTTAAAAATAGCGCCTGCACAGAATTCATGCTCCATAAATGTTTCTTAAAAAGAGTCTTTTAAAAATGGGCCTCTGCCATGTTGCAATGCTGAGGACAGAGCAATGAAAATGACCGTTGTGTTCCCTGCCCTCAGGGAGGTTACCTGTAGACAGGTGAGTGTGATGTAAGGGCCCTTTAGGTACAAAGATTTCGTTTAGGATGCCACATATCAAAATCTTAGGGGGATGCAGAGCCTTACTGATCCAGAATCTCTGGGTCCAGAGCCTAGGAATATACATTCCAGCAGCCCCTGCCTGGGATGAATTGGAACTCTGCCCGTACCCCTGTGCTCTCTGTATTCCATACATGCTGCTACTTCTATGCAAGCTTCCCTGCTCTCCGTTTGTCTGGCCGTAATGTGCTCAGCCAGTGGGAAGGCAGGCTGGGAGTGCTGCAGGGTCAGTGTCCTCCCTGGAAGCAACCCTCACCAGTGACCTGCGAGTGACAACTTGGGGCCGTGTACTACATACTCCCACAGAGGTCCCAAGCAGGACTGAGCTCCAGTTCCCACATGGAACCCACTCGTCACCACATCTTCTGTTGCCCGCCTTCTCTCTTCTGTACTTTCCTTTTCTCTGCCAGTGGTTCCCAGGATCACCTCCCAAACCAACTGCTTGTACCCAAATCTGCTTATGGGAGAACCCAGACTAAGATATACAGAAGCTCCTGGTCAACAGGAGCTTGGGGAGCTTTTCTGAAGACACCCAATCTTTGGGCTGAGAATAAAAGAATAAGGAATTAGCCAGAAGGAAAGGTAGGGAGGAGGGGAGGCACATTCCAGGCAGGTTAGATTAGCCTGTGCCAAGGCCTGGGGTCCGCAGAGGGCAAGGAGTCCCAGGAGCTGTAGAACACGGTGTGACAGAGCCCAGGGCACACGGGCCAAGAGAGGTGACCCGGGGTGGGCAGAGCCACAGTGGGGAGCTCAGATTTTACCCTAAGGTTCATGTGAGGCCACCAAAGGACTTTCAGCATGGGGGATAAGCTGGGGTGAGTTGATATTTAGGAAAACAGGCCCAGAGGCAGTGTGGGTCTGTCAAAGATTGCACCGTTGGCTGTTCAAGTCTTTGCTGACAACCAGCGAGTGGGGAGACTGCTTGTGGGTGACCTTGCTGCCTACCCAAGATTTCTCTGATGAAGGCAAATGCCTTCTGTTCCTTGAGGTGTGTAGTTTTCATCTTCTCGATGTCAGTGGCCAAAGGTGGCTGGTAGATGTCCTTTCTGCTGCACCTTCGTGCTCGGAACAAGGCAGAGGGGTCTGTGAAAGCAAGGACACAAGGACTGTCCCCCAGGGGGCGGTGGAGCTGCCCTCTGCTTTTGCAGCCAGGAGCCATTTCTCGACACTGCCCTCCACGCCTCCGCCCCTCCATCCCCACACCCAGAATTCTGCCCCTTCTCCTTCCACGGAGAATTCTCCTCGTACTGAAAGCACAACGCTCCACCCCGCCCCCCGCCGTGCTCTTGGACTCTGAGATAGATCCCAGTGCTCTGAAATTTTGATGGATGGAAGAAGGAGGGTAACTAATATTTCCAAGTCCTGTCATGTCTAATTCTAAGGATCTTCTTTTTCCAAGCCACTTTACTAAGCTATAATTTTCGTAAATATTCCCATTGGAAGTCTACAATTCAGTGATTTTAGTAGATTTATAGAGTTGTGCAACCATCACCACAACCTCATTGTACAACATTTTAATCAACCCAGAAGGTTCCCTCATATCCCCATAAAGTCAGTCCCCACTCCCACCCTCAGCCCCATTAATTTGCTTTCTGTCTCTATAGATTTTGTTCCTGGATATTTCATATAAATGGAATCATGCAGTGCATTGTTTCTGGTGTCTGGTTTCTTTCACTTAGCATAATGGATTGGAGTCCATCCATGTTGTTGTGTAATTAGTATTTAGTTCCTTTTTTTGGTATGGATATACTTCTGTATGTTTTTATCCACTCATGTCTAGATTGTTCTTAGTTTTGCCTATTATGAATAATGCTGCTATGAATGTTTGTGTACAGGTGTTGGTATGGACATATATTTTCATTTCTCTTGGGTAGATTCCTAGGAATGGCCATTTGGCTGTTTCAAATGAACCCGCTGTGGACATGTAGCTACAAGTTCCTGCATGAAAATAAGTCTTCATGTCTCTGGGATAAATGCCCAAGAATGTAATCACTGGGGCATATGGTAAGACCGTTTTTAGATTTGAAAGGAACTGCCAAACTCTTTTCCAGAGTGACTGTACCATTTTACATTCCCAGAAGCACTGTGTGAATGGTCCAGTTTCTCTGCATCCTTTTCAGCATTTGCTATTATCATCATTTTTCACTTGAGCTATCCTGATAGGGGTGTATTGTCCCCACTGTCTTTTGAATCTATGCCTTTCTTTCCACCCCCACTACCAGTACCTATAATCTCTTGTCTGGACCTTTCCACTAGTCTTTTGTTCATTTGACCCAATACTTCTGGTCTCCTAAAAGCAGTTATAGTAATGTTTCTCAAACCACAAGATAGATCATGCCTCTCGTATTTAGCCCTCCAAAACCCCAGCATTGACCCAGGTGCTACAAGGCCCTGCTCCCCACCCACCTCTCTGCCCTCATTTTGTTTTTTCCTCCCTCCCTTCTTCGTTCCTTTCTCAGAGAGAGTGCACGCAAGAGAGTGTGTGGGGCAGAGGAAGAAAGAGAATCTCAAGCAGGCTCCATGCTTGGCACAGAGCCAATTAGAGGCTCGATCTCACAACTGTGAGATCATAACCTGAGCCGAAGTCGTAGGCTTAACCGACTGAGCCACCCAGGTGTCCCTGCCCTCATTTTGAACCATTCTCCCCCTAATTCCCTATGCTTTGGCTACACTGTCAGTCGTCCTACAAAATGACAAGCCCTGTCCCACCTCAGGGCCTTTGCACGTGCCCAATGTGCAGTCCCTCCCTGCACCAGGCTCCAGGAACCAATGGAGGCACCACCTTAGCAGAGAGGCCTGCACTCTCCCGTTCTCTCTGTAAGTTCTCACATTGCACACTTGCATGTCTGCTTGTGTTGTTTACTTGTTTAATGCGTCTCTCCCAGTGGGCTGTGCTTTCCAAGGGCAAGCTGCTCCATCCAGTGCTGTGTTGCTTGGGGTGGGAGCAGGGATTGGCTTAAGTTGTCAAGAGGAAACCTTTTCAGGGTCATGAAGCTGCTCCAAATCTGAATTGAGATGATGGTTGCACAGCTCTATACATTTACTAAAATCAGTGAATTACACACTTACAGTGAGTGGATTTTATGTAAATCATGTTCCTGAGCCATCGAACTGCCTGGCACACAGCAAGTACTCCCTGAGTAGCTGCCAAAGGAATGACTAAATGAATATTTAATTGTTCTGGAAGCTGGTGTCTCCTTGGACAAAAATTACTCTTTTATCTTGGGGAGAAGATTTTAATGGACCTTTTGGATCTGCAGAGCCAAAACCAAGAGAAAAACAAATGCAAACCCTACCCCAGAGTGGAAGGATACTCTAGGAGGTAACCCCGCTGTATAAAGTCTGTACAAGAATGTAGGTATGTCTTTGGTTGATTTGTTTCTGTTTTCTTTTCCCTGAAAGTCGGAGTCTCTGCGTGGGACTATTAGAGTGTTGATCCTGTTCTATTTGCTTGTTTTGTGTGATGGTCTTGTTGTAGGCATTCTCTGGAGTGTGGGTTGGGAAGTGAGGTATCAGGTTGCAGGGAAAGGTGCTGCTCCGTGGCCCTCCTCCCACAAGGGTCAGCATGGCTCTGTTCCAATAAAGCTTTGTTTACCAAAACAAGCAGTGGGCTCCATTTGTGCCCTGGGCTGTAGCTTGCAGACCCTTGTCCTGGAACTCTTTGCAGCCCAGCTGCAAGCATGTTCTGTTTTGGTTTTCATTCTAAAGGCCAGGGGCCTGGGCCTTGGGGGAGAAAGCTGCTTTCTTGGGATTACACAGAGAAGATGGCCATGCAGAGCACGGCCCCCAAGGGGCCTCTTTTGGCCAAGGGGTCCTGCTTGGGCACAAGAGAGAGGGCTGGGGTAGAGAAGAAACAAGGTTGCCCTGGAGACAGGGAAGGAGTCATTTGTTTTTTGGATCGGTCAGGGGTACTTCCCCAATGAGGGATGAAGGAATGTTGGAGCAAGAAGGTCAGCGGCTGGGCCCTGTAGGGCTCAGCCTCATCAGTTTCCAGGTCCCTGCCTCTACCTGTGCACCATTACCTGGGCCAGACGGATGTCCTGGGAGGGAGACCACGGGCTCGTCCTCATCCTCCACTTTCTTTAAAACCAACGCGAAGAAGGCAGCAAAGCCCAGCACCTGGGAAACACCCATTGTGAATCCCAGGCCCGAGCTGGCACCTATCAACTCCTGATCTGGGAGGAGTCAGGATCAGGGTCAAATCTGTAGAAACCTTGCTCTGGGGAAGTCAAGTGGGAACCAGCCCATCCTGTGCCAGGAGGGGGCGCGGCGATGAGGGGAGAGGATCGGGGCGGGGCGGAGGGGGGTGGCAGCACCTGGCCACCAAGCAGGCAGAGATAGTGAATCTTGGGCTTTCCGTACTTTTCAGACCAAAGCCTTTCCGCCTGCGCCCTCCTGCTGCCAGAGCTCTCTCTTATCTCTCCTACTACCTCAAGTACTGAGTTACATCTTCCTCCTCCCTCCACCCCTCCCTCCTTCCTCCTGCATTGATTCACCGGCACATGCAGGGGAGGGGCAGAGAGAGGGAGAGAGAAAGAGAATGTCAGCACAGAGCCCCACTCGGGGCGCGAACCCACGAACCGTGAGATACTGACCTGAGACAAAATCAGGAGTCAGACACTTAATGGACTAGGCCACCCCAGGGGACCCTGTATCTTCTGATAAAGGCTCTTTGGGGCAGAACTGGGGACTAACTGGTAAAATGAGGATGAGGGATTTGGCAAGTCTTGTAAGTATAAAGAATCACTGTAAATGTCCCCTCCTTTTGCAGGTGCCCCACCTCCCCCGACACACACAGCATTCCTCCTCCCTGACTCTGTCCAGCGGGAGCTGTGGCTCCAAGCTCCAGGCCGGGGCTCAGTATTCCTCCAACTCTGGTAGTAACTTTACATTTCAGAAATAGGAGTGCATCTTCCAATTGATGCACACATTTGATGACTTGGTATTTTTCTTTTCTGAAGGTAAAGTTCTTGTAAATTGCTAGCCTGTCTCACAGTTAAAAGGATCTTAGAATTGAGGAAATACGGTTTTATTCATATTTTACACGTGTGCCCCAGGGCAGGATTTTGTGACCTTACCTTCCTAACCTTGGGTTCTCATAAAACGGAGGCAAGGACCCTCCTGAGGGTGACTGTGACGGGGACGTACCACATCTTGGTAAGCCTCTAGGCCTGGCCTAGAGTCTCAGTCCCAGAGCCTCTGTCCCCAAACTCGGATTGTCTCTGCAGTTAATGTCATCATTACCAACCAGGTGCTGTGTAAGCTTGTAATGAATAGATAAAGGGATGATAGAAGCGTAAGGACAGGTCAGCTGGCAGGAGGGAAAGTGTGGGCACAGGGGACCAGGACAGCCTGACCTTCAGAGGCTGGGTGACAAACACACTCTCCACGAAGGAGACGGCCACGGAGATGAGCCATTTGAGGGAGCTGGCCCGCCCGTAGTGCAGGCCGTAGAGCATGGTGAAGAAGGCCGCCACGCCGCTGGTGGCCGCCACCAGGAGCCAGCCCCCCAGGACACACCACCAGGGCAGGCCGCGAGGAGGCTTGCTCGCCATCGGGGAGCTGAAAAGGAGCGGGGTATGATCAGGGTGGCGCACCTACCAGGCTCAGGTTCACACGCCACTTCACCCACCAGCTGCATGACTGTGGCTGAGCTCCTTGACCTCTCAGACCTCAGTTTTCTCCTCTGTATCTTGTACCCGCCTCAAAGGGCTTCATTCTACATTCCTTCCGGTTTACATACTTTTATTCTACTGAGGTCACGTTTGTTCGGTGCTTTACACAGATTTGCTCCCATTACTCACGGGAAGCCTAGATGGCTGGTACTATATAATTTTTTAAACTTTTCTTTAATGTTTATTTATCTTAGAGAGACAGGGGGACAGAGGATCCAAAGCAGGCTCCGTGCCTTCATTGCAGAGCCTGACATGGGGCTCCATCCCATGAGCCATGAGATCATGACCTAAGCTGAAGTCTGACGCTTAACCAACTGAGCCACCCAGGTGCCCCGCATGTTTTTTTATTATGAAAATTTCTCATCCTACAAAAATCAGCACTACAAACCCTGAACAATTAGTTTCAACAGCCAAGGGATTGCTGTTAGACTCATTTCATCTACCTTCTCTCTCTCTCTCTCTCTCTCTCTCTCTCCCTCCTCTCCTCTCTGTCTCTGTCTCTGTCTCTCTCTCTCTCTGGGGTATTTAAAAATAATTTCCAGGGGCGCCTGGGTGGCGCAGTCAGTTAAGCGTCCGACTTCAGCCAGGTCACGATCTCGCGGTCCGTGAGTTCGAGCCCCGCGTCGGGCTCTGGGCTGATGGCTCAGAGCCTGGAGCCTGTTTCCGATTCTGTGTCTCCCTCTCTCTCTGCCCCTCCCCCGTTCATGCTCTGTCTCTCTCTGTCCCAAAAATAAATAAACGTTGAAAAAAAATTAAAAAAAAAAATAATAATTTCCAGACCTAATATAAAAGCATCCCTAATTACTTCAGAATATTTCTCAAAAATGGTCATTTTCTTATTGAATGACAGTAACAAATTTTCACACCTATCAAAATTACCAATTCCTTAATGTTGTCTAATAACCTGTCTGTATTCACATTTCACTGATTATCTTTAAAAATGTATTTTAAAAATATTTTATCTTTGAGAGAGAGTGTGTGCACACGTGAGCAGGACAGGGGCAGAGAGAAAGGGAGAGAAAATCCCAAGCAGGATCTGCACTTCCAGCAAAGAGCACGATGGGAGGCTTGATCCCACGAACATGAGAGTTGGACGCTTAACTGACTGAGCCATCCAAGCACCCCTAAAAATGTATTTAAGTTTGACTTAGGAGATAGGAATTATCATTCCCATTTTACAGATGAGAAAACCGAAGCGCAGAGAAGTTGAGGGACTTGTCCAAGGGTGCACAGTTAGGAAACTGCCCACATGAATATGGCTATACACTGTGAGGTGCTCTACCAAGGGCTGAAAACTGCCTTTTGGCAAACTGCCCTGTTGAAAGCCTTCCTCCCTGAATTTGTGCAGGAATCCTGAATCCCTTCTGCCTGCGAAGATCTGGGTGAACATCCTTCCAAGGTTTCCTGGGCTGCCTTCCCTCTGCAGGCCCCTCCTCTGGTGCCCACTCAGCACCTGGGGGGAGTGGATTACCTGGTGTGTGCCTGGGGTGGGGTGCCCAGCCGGCCCGCAAGGAGGCCCTTCAGGGTCTGCAGCTGGCTGAGGGCCCGGGCGTGGCTCTGGCACTGGGAGAGGCCGCAGGGCCCCACCAGCTGAAGCTCTTGCTCCATATGCTCCAGCTGAAGGTAGAGACACCGCCTGTAGGCATTGTCCTTCCGAGGGTCACTTGGGCGTGGCACCTGTTCTGGAGGACAAGGGAGAGAAAGCGCCTCAGCTGGTGCCGAAGGACAGAGCGGACAGCCTGGCAAAATGACAGCAGTGTTAGTGACGGCTTTCTTGTGTCAAGCGCTTGCTGTGTGCCATGCCGTGAGAGACCTGGGCTCAGAAAGATGGGGAGAGGTACCAGGCTCCCATGGCCAGTTAGCATGCATAGGCTGCTCTTAACCTTTTAGCAAGGGCGCTCTCAAAGCTTCCTTCCACATGGGCAGAAGAGAACAGAATAAATGCCCATCACTTGCTGCCACAAGAGCCAACCTTGGGCTAATCTTGTTCTGTCTCTGCCCCGCCCCTCAACGTCCCCCACTTTTTTCTTCTTCTGGAATACTTTAGAGCAAATCCTAGACATGGTGGTATCTCATCAGCAAATATTTTGATATATACAAGATTTGCCTCCTGCCAAGATTTGCCTGGTGTCGTTCTTAGCCTTTTGTTTTCAACTTTTTTTTTTTTTTAATCATGTAAAGGGTCTAGCCTACAAAAGCAGAGAGTGTGAGGACATGACCCTGTACACACCCACGGCTCAGGATTACCAACTCGTGGCCACTCATGCTTCACCTGCACCCAGCCCGCCCTCTCTCCACAGGGATGATTTTGAAGCAAATTCCAAGGCCCAGGTCATGTCCCTAAATATCTCAGTATGCTTCTCCATGGGCTTCTACGATGTGCTATAATGCTACAGTGTGCTTCTAAAAATAAAACCACGGTGTCATTGTCAGCCTTTGAAACGAGTGATGATAATCCCTTAATAGCACAAAATAGCCAGTCACTGGCCAAATTCCCTTGATAATCTCATGAATGTTTTCCCACAGTTGGCTTGTTCATATTTCGGCTTCCTAAAAAGTTAAACAAACAAAAAACCCATAAAGATGTTTTTTGTTTTAAATGACTCATTGCAAGAAAGAAACAACGTTGACATTTCCACTGTTGTCCATGTATTTAAGGGACGCATGGCCTCTTCCAGCGGAACCAGGTCTGGGTCTCTGACCCTGAGCTGGAAGGTGGGCACCCAGGGGCACCTCCTCCTGGGACAGTAAAGAGCACAGGTCGACTGGACCAGCGTTTGTCTTTGCAAGGGGTACGTGAAGCCAGATATGGGAGGTGACAGGAGAGAGCACCCCTGCCCCATGGCTCCCCGGCAGTCACCAGTGAGAAGTGAGCGGGAAGGTAACCCGCCGTGTGAAGAAAGGTACAGCAGGGCTCGGGCTAGATGCAGGGGAAGGTCTGGGGCAATGTCGACTCTGTCTCCCTGACTCAGGCCTCCTCCCTCACCCTCCTTCCTGGGTCTGCCTAGCCGAGGCCACAGCTACGGGTTCTGACATCAACAGCCTTCAGGTTGCAAGCCCTCAGGCAGTGCTTCTGGAAGATACCATCACTCCCTATCAATCATAACACCACTGAAGACCTGCTTTGTATCAGGCTGAGCACGTGTCTTGTGACCTCATTCAGTCCTTGAAATGAGCCAAGAGGCTGGATGGATCAATCCTCCCGTTTCATAGGGGAGGAAGCCAAGTCGCAGGTTGAGCACCTTGCCCACAGTTGCACAATGGCTGGTGAGGCTGTGAGAGCCCCGGGACCTGGCTGGCTCCAGAGTCCACGTTCTGAGGCCTCTGCTAGGAAGACCAAGCCCCAGACTCAAGGCCAGACGTCCAGTGCAGGCATCAGCGGAGCTCCTGCAGGGCCAGCCTTCATAGGCAGCCCAAGCCCAGCTCTCTGGAGCATGGGGGTCAAGGTGGAGCTGACCGTGGGGTCAGCGTGGGCCCGGCCATGAGGGCCGTAAGTGTTAACAGTGAGGAGTTGGGATCTTGTCTTGAGGGCACTGACTCTCCACACTCGAAGTGTGCTCGAAAGTTGCCTAAGTGACTGGTTAAAATGCAGATTCTGGCCTCAGCCAGAAGCTAATTCACTATATCAGTGGTGGGACCAAGAGTTTATGAATTCAAATTCCCCATTCTGTAGACTCCGTGTCTGTATTCTAAACAAGATTTACACAGTGATCGGCCTTGTGTGTTAAAAATGGCAGCATTCTTAGCCCACACTATCCAGTATGATAGCCCCTGGCCCCATCAATTAAATTAAAATTAATTAAAATTACCATTAAAAAATTCAGTTCCTTAGTCACACTAGCCACATTTCAAGTGCTCAGGAGCTAAATGGGGCCAGTGGCTGTCATACCGGATGGCACTGATACAGAGCATTTCCAGCACTGTGAGAAGTTCTATTGGACAGCCTGTTCCGAACACTGGCAACATCGATGTGGGTGGAAGATGAACAGAAAAGGGGCAAGTGGGGAGTCAGAGAGAGTAGTCCAAACCAGAATAATGTGCCATACATAGAACTCAATAAAAATGAAATGATGTTACTAAATTTTAGCGGAATACTGTTTCAAAACGCTCTGAGTTTGAGACCTGCTGTTTTTCTGCCAGAGAATTAACCCAGTATTAAAAGGGTGTTAAAGACACACAAGTACCAAACAGAGATTTGCTCCCAGAAGGGTTGGAAGAGAATGGAGGAGTGACTTCTCACCCTGCCACTCCGTGTTCTTTACTGTCTTTCTACTGCCCTGTCCACCATCTTGTGCCCTGCCCCTTACATTTGGAAATGGGTCTGGTTTGACTTTGCACCCCCCGGCACTTCACAGAAAGGAAACTGAGGCGAGGAGAATTGAAGTAACCTGCCCCACATCCCACAGCCCGTTAATCGCAGAGCCAATACCCAGAGTTGTCAGGATGGCCAATGCTCCCCTTAACACATAGGCCAATGCTCCCCTTTCTGCTTTGTGCATTCCATCATGACCTGCTGTGCTGACGTCATCCCACTCACGTTCGTTGTGTGCTTTCTATGTGTTGCATGGGGCCAGGCATGAGACAGATGGAGACAGGACAGGGACAGGCTCCCACCTCACAGAGCTCACGCTCCAGCAAGGTTGCTGTAGATTTTAAATAGCTCTTCACACAAGTCACGATGTGGCAGCAGGCACTGTCAGAGCGACGCAAGAGAAGCTTAGGGGCTAAAGGGTATGTGTCTGGAGGCCCCGTTGTGGCACTGGGGGTGGGGCTGCTCCCCTGAGGAAGGAGTGCTTAAACCAAGACTAAGGCCTGATTGGGAATTAGCTAAGAGAGGAGAAAACACATTCTAGATGAAAGGCCTTTAGTGGGAAGGCAGCGTGGCGTTGTGAAGAAAAGGGTTGCCTGTGTACAGAGAGGGAGGTGACAGCAGGTGGTTGCAGGGGAGGTCAGTGGAAGACACTGCATAGGACTTCTCGACTCCCTAGTGATCCAGATGCAGCCCAAAGTCCTGTCTCCACCCGGTCCCCTTTCCCAGATCAGAAACATCAGGACTTACCTTCCGCTTGTACAGACCCAAGAGTGCGTGTTACAAAGTCCTCTCTCTGCTTGGCTTCCTCCCAGGACTCCTGCCCTACCATGTTCTGCACACAGATGACATCTTCCACCAAGGCCAACAGTTGGTTGATGTCCATCAAGGTCACTGACTCCCAGCCAGCGGCAGGTGCTGGCACCTTCAGAGCTTTAAACAGGGAGCTGACGAGTCTCCACATATCCTGCAAGTGAGCCCAGGTTGGGTAAGGGGAACGTGAGCTATAGGTGATGGGGCAGTATAGTGGTGAAGAGAATTCACCCCAGGGCTTGGCAGTCTGGCTTTGAATCCCAGCTCTGCCCACTGAGATGTGACGTTGGACCACCCTGAGCTTCCATTTTGTCACCTGTAGAGTCCCTCTTCTAGGATTTGAACTGATACATTCCAGGCTGTATTTCTCAAAGTGTGGCATGTAGTAGGTGCTCAGTAAATGTTTATTGGTCCATGAATGCAGAAGGAGTCCCTTCCATGGGTTTCTATGATAAAGGTGTAATATTTTGTACACACAGGGTTCCCAGAAATTGTAGGTGCATACATGTAGGTGTTTTTGTGTATGTATGTGTGCACGTGTGTGTACATATACATGTGTGCAAGTGTATGTATATGTTTGTTTATGTCTTTGTATATGTATATGCACACGTTACATGTCTGTAGGTGTGTGCGTGTATGCATGTGCACCTGCGTGATGCCTATACATGTGTATACACGCACATGTGGTGTACATGTGTGTGCACGTGTGCACATGTAAACATGCATGCACATGTGTATGTGCACGTGCACACATGTGTGTGTAGGTGATGAATCTTGGTGACTGATGCTGTCAGACAACGTGGGGTCGCCAGGCCTCAGGCCTCAGTTCTCCCTCCGCCATTTCTGCCCAGGCTAGAACACCCCTCCACCGCCAAGATTGAAGACATGCCTTGGTCACCACTTCAAGTGTCAGAAGGCCATCCTCCATGGACTGCAGTGAGGGGGCCAGGCTGGGGGAGCCCCTGTCCCATTTCCCAGCATTCTGCTCCTTAGTGACCCGAGGACGAGTGTTTCGAAAGATCTGAACGATCAGGAGGTTGATGGGGAACATGAGGAGAGAGCTCTCCAGTCCAATCATCACTTCCTGCCAAGTGAATTCAATTTTACCTAGGACAGAGGAGGGAAGGGGTCAGTGGGAGACTCTCCACCACCACTTCCAGAACATGGCTGTGCAGTAAGGACTCACATTGCCCACAGAGACGTCTGGCCCTAGAGTGGCTCCTGGGAGGTGACCTCTAAGCTCTTGGGTTGTTCTGCCTGGTAGGTACACCTTTGTTTACCTGGGGTCTTGGGCCACACTCCATAGTCTATGTTAACAGTGATTAGTGGTGAGGGCCTTGGCCACACGGCATCACCTCAGCCTCTGGAGGGGCCGGAGGCTAAGGTCAGCCATGTGGGGGTCAGCTATGTCTGTGTGAGCAAGCCCCAATAAAACTCTGGATACCAGGGCTCAGGGGAGTGTCCCTGGTTGGCAGTATTCCATGTGTGTTGTCACACATCATTGTCAGGAGGAGTGAGCATGGTCACAGATCGCCTGTGGGGAGAAGACAATTGGAAGCTGTGTACCTGCTCTCCCCCTGCCCCAGCCCCACACACCTCTTTCCTTTCCTGATTTTGACCCGTATCCTTCCTCTGTAATGAGTGTAACGGTGTTTCTGATGTCTGGGAGTACTTGTTGAATTATTGAATCAGAGGGTGGTCGTGGGACCTCGGGAATGGTGTGGCACTATCCCTGACCGTCATGACAGTGCGAGTTACCCAAGTCCATCTTTTGCTCAGCTGGGTCCTTGGGAACACCCCAGAACATGATGCTGGTCAGCATGGTGCAGAGGAGCATGGAGAAGCAGCAGGACACCCTCTGGACGCGGGTAAAGTTGCTCCGAGCTGAGCAGCTGAAGACAGAATACCAGATGTGTCCATCCTGGAAGCCTGTGGAGGTCTTCATGAGAAACAGGTGGCTGTGAAGAGGCAGGGAGAGAGGGACAGGGATTGGAGAAGGCTGGTCTCTTCGGAGCAGTCCTGGGATGAGAGGGAAGGGCTTGTTTCCAAGATTTATCCTCTACTGTCTCTAGTGTGGGAGACATACGGCCCCTTGGCATCATTCAGAGTTAATGGTGGGGGCTCTGCACAGAGTGAGTTGCAATCCTAGATGGCCCTGCTGCTCGTCGTGTGTCCTCAGGCAAGTTACTTTACTCTTTCCACATCAGTTTACTAGTCTGTAAAATGGGGATAATAACATAATCTGCCTAATGGGACTGTTGAAAGGTTTGTGATCATTTTTGTCAAGCATTTGGTAAAGTAGCTGGCATGTATGTGAGTGTTCATCAGTGTTAGCAAATTATTTTTGTTATAATTTTTTTAATGTTTATTTATTTTTGAGAGAGAGGGGCAGAGAGAGAGAGAGAGAGAGAGAGAGAGAGAGAGAGAGAGAGAGAATCGGAAGCAGGATCCAGGCTCTGAGCTATCAGCACAGAGCCCGATGCCGGGCTCAAACCCACAAACCGTGAGATCATGACCTGAGCTGAAGTCAGATGCTTGTCCAACTGAGCCACCCAGGTGCCCCTAGCAATTATTTTTGTTATAATTTTCATACAGTAGTTAGCTATACTATTAGGTTTGTTATAATTAGTGCATTGGAGGATACTGGTTAACAATTCCAGGCTATAGGTTCAGGCTCAGTTTGAGAGAATAAAAATTGCAAGACAGGGTTTCTGGAAATGGCACCATATTCTCCTTAAGAATCTGTGTTATTTCCCTGTGAGCAGAATGTAGTCTAATCAGGGGCCCTGCTTCTCCTGAGTGTGCAGAACTGATGCTCCCAGCTGGCACCCATTCTGGTGGCCAGTGCCAGCAGCCCTCAGAGTTGTACTTTGACTGTCATTCTGTACTGTGTGAGTGGCCTGGACACAGAGTAAAGGTGCATAAAGAGATAGGTCAGCTGCCAGCAACAGTGATTTTCCACGTGGTTGTTCTGCCCATCGTTCTATTGACAACTCACCAAATATTTGGTGAGCCTCGTGCTGTGTGCCCCATGCTCTGCTGGGCACCAGGATTCACGGGGAAGTGACACAGTCCTGCCTTCAGACGCCCCTTTGTCTCATTTCCAGGCATCGCACGTTTGATGATCTGCTCCTGTGACCGAGCACTTACTCCGAGCGCTCGCTGTGCTAAGTTTGCTCCCCACATCATTTCACAGGACGCGCACGGGTCCCCGTGGGGTAGGCACACCAAACAACTCCTTTTTCAGATGTGGAAGCTGAGACCTGGAGAGGTGCAGTGACTCTTCCAAGGTCGTGCAGCAAGTCAGTAGCAGCATGTGGAACTGTGCAGTGTGCCCACATCTGTGTTACACTTCTCCTGGGGTCCAAGTCTCTCGGACTCAGACTTTTTCCCTTTGCAGGCTGGGCTGTTCAGAGTGGCAGCTAGGAGGGAAAGTCACCTTTCAGTAAATGCACTGGAAACAGACTTTGTTTTTGAACCTAACTCAGAAGGCATTTAAAGTAGAGGTCACAGGGCGCCTGGGTGGCTCAGTCAGCTAAGTGTCTGACTCTTGACTTCAGCTAAGGTCATGATCCCGGGGTTGTGGGATCGAGCCCTGCATCAGGCTCTGCAGTGAACATAGAGCCCAGTTAAGATTCATTCCCCGCCCCCCACTCATGCGCTCACTTATTCTCTCTCTCTCTCTCTCTCTCTCTCTCTCTCTCTCTCTCTCAAAAATAAAACAAAAATAAAGTAGAGGTGACAAATTCACATACCTAAAGGGACCTGGGTAGACACAAACAAATGAAGTAAATGAGTGAAGTGGGTTGGGAGTAAGATAATAGGGAGTGGGTGGGGATTGTGGCAAAACAGAGTGTACATGGCCTTGTATAAGAGGAAAGCTGGTCCCCAGCTCTAGCAGATTGGTGTCATGCAGGAACATACTTGCCGCATTTTCATACTTGCCGGGTTTTTGTGGAGTCTCTTGATTTTCTAATATTGGTTAGGAACAGACTGAGTGTCCATCAATAGGAGGATGGCTGAATTAGTTGTGGGACATCCAGTCTGTGGATTATCATGCAGCCAATAAGGAAGAGTTTGACCCAACCACACTGTCTTGGAAGGATGTTCATGGTGTACCATCAAAGAAAAAGGGTGACATAGTAGGAGTAGTTCCATTTTAAAAGATATGAAATAAACGGTCTGTGGTGTTGTATGTGTGCACACGAGTGTGTGTGTGTGTGTGTGTGTGTGTGTGTGTGTGTACATTTGTATTTGCATTGATGTGTTTGGGCAGATGGGGAAAGAAGGAAGTCAAGCTAATGGAGACACATGCTGAAACACCCGTGTGGAAAAAACAGCATGAAGAAGGAGCCCCAGATGGCCAGACATGGAATTGCCTTTCAAAATCAGGCTGTTCAGTCACATAAAACATACTATTGTACGACACATGTAAAGAAGTACGGATAACCGTTCCAACCGTTTTCACCACGTCAAAGATCATTCTGTGTCAGAGGGTCCATGTCCCTCCAGGGCCCCTCAGTCCCAACAAGAAAAACTGATTGGTCATTAACGTCACACATTTGAAGCTATGCAGTCCCGATAGCTGAAACATGCTTTTGTTTTGCTTCACCTGGATTGCAGTGCACCTTCCCTAAAGATGAAAGAATAAGGTGAAGAGCGTTTGCTTGAAAAGAAAAAAGTACCTGAATTGTTTCCTGTCCTGCTCTGTGGCCACCGGAAATTCTTTGTCGAGGACACAGTCTCCGACATCAATGGACAGCCACGAGTTGCAGAGGAAATACCACTTCCGGTTCATTGCCAGGTCATGCACCAGCACCCGGCTCACGTACCTGCAGAAGGGACCCGCGCTTTTGAGGACAAGGTTGGGAGGTGAGGCTTCTTTGGATACCACGAAGGTAACACCTTTGCAAACCTGAGCCCAAGAACAAGAGCTCCTGAAAAGAGAAACTGTATTTTTCTTCATTTTCCTTGGTGCCTTGACCAAAATGCCCCGATCAGCGGGTGAATTTGGCCTCACGTGGGGAGCTCACGGAGATGCTGCTGCAAGAGGGTACCTTCTGAAACTATTTACCCTAGTGCAGGGCAGCAGGCCCAGGGCCAGCATCCAGATGCAAGTGAGGAAAGCCACGTTGTCTAAATTGTGTGCATTCAGGGAGGTGCAGACTCGGGCGCACAAAACCTCGTCTTCCTGTCGGCTTCCACCCAGAGAACGAGCCGTCTATTTTGGACTCAGGACTTCATGGGTATCAATCATCAAACCTGATTTAGGTCTTTGAGGCCCGCGTAAGGAATGAGATCATCTCGCCTCTGCTGGGATGGGAGATGCCGGAGCAGCCATTTCCCCTGTTGCCTTATGGCCAGTAAGAATAGTGATAGTATCAATAGCCACTCTCTGCTGAGCATTTACTGCGTAATGTGGGCTATGCTCGGAGGCTCTGGACACGCGTCTTCTCACTTCCAGGAGGACAGCCCTGTCAGGCATGCAAGAGCCTCCTCTGTTGAGGTCACACAGCCTCCGGAGGAGGCCAACATCCAGTGACTGATGGGTGCAGTGCCTGGGTGTGGTCAAGACCTGGGCATCTCAGCCCGACTCGGAACACTCCAGAGCTCCCCGTGGGGGTCAGCCACGCTGTTGTGCTGCATCAGAGCTCTGCCCCCTCTGCTCCTCCTGCTTCCTTCTCTCCCTGCCCAGGGGCTGGTCCCAGGCACCCTGCATATTCAACTCTATCTCTGAGTCCAATGTACAGCCCTTGAAGTAGTATTGTGTAATCCCTTAGGTAAATTAAAGACAGCAATGTAAGTGCTGTGTTTTTCTAAAGTTGCAAGCCTCTGATGGGGGGTCAGACCGGAAATGACTCATCTAGGTGACTAGTTTTGGCCTCACACAGAAGGGGCAGATTCTTGGCTCTGAGCTTGCCAGCTGTGTGACCTTGGGCAAGTCACTTACCTTCCCTGGGCTTGGATTTTCCCACCTGCAAAACAAGGATGAGGGTACTTGTCCCTGAATGAGAGTACTTGGTCATTGTTGAGGAGCCGGTGAAAAAAGGCACAGAAACAGGAAGGCTTAGTCTAGTGCTTAGCAGGGGCGGCTGTTCCTGCCTCTTCCACTAAACAATCAGCCCAGTGTCTCCTTAGTCCCCTCTTATTGGGCAAGGTTTGTCTTCACAGCGGGTCCATTCTATGTGTTTGCGGAGGCTTGTGTGGATCAGCCAGGTGGCACGTGCACAGCCCTGGGCTGGCACTTAAGGAGTTCTCGTGGTGTGCTGCCCCCCCCCTCCCCGTGACTTACCAGGATGGACGGTCCCCTGAGTTGTCATGCCACAGCCGCAGACTCCTCAGCTCCCCCAGGGGGAACAGGGTGGAGAGTAAGAAGACATCTACTCCTCCTCGCTCAAAAACTGGGATGTCAGGATCTGACAGGTGGTGGGGTTCACTCTCTCCATCCAGGCCATATAGGGTGACAGTCACCTGAAATCCAGAGACTAGGAGACGCCAACTCCCCCTGGTAACCAGGCCCTGCTGGCCGTGTTTCCTTGGAAGTGTCCAAAAACCAGTGAAAACCAACATAACATGGCCCCTTCATTCTCTCTTCTCCCATCTTGGGCCTACTGAATTATTTTTCAGGTGTATGAAGATTTGGGGTCACACTATCTGCATTTATGTATTCAGCGTGAGTTATAAAACACTTCCTGGTAACTTTTTAAAACTTCCCATGTACTTATTTGTAAGGGCTTTAGGGTAGGGACTGATTTCTCCCCCTAACAGTCGTATTCCCAGTGTCTCCCAGAGTACCTGGCCCTGAGATGTGAATGCATGAGTGCCCATTGTCTTGAAAATGCATATTCCTAGGCACCCCCTCCAGACCACTCAACTGAAAATCCTGGGGCCAGGGCCCAGGAATCTGTTTTTCTGCAGCTGTCCAGGTGATACTGATGGCTGATTTCCTGAGCAGAAACAGCCACCATACTGCCATCTGTGTTCTGCCCACGTCTGTCAGCCTCACCACTGCAGCATCCCTGCACCCACGTCCAACTGCCAGCAGCTGTCTCTTTCCTGGGGTTTCTTGGGCTGTTCGAACAGAGACTGAAGTGACAGAGAATTAACGGCGATACATGCTGTTCTCCACCAGTGACTGATGGGATTCGTGGGTAAGTGACCCAGTTCCCCCAGCCATCAGTGGGGTGACTTTGAGGCCCATGTTGCTTACTATTTTGCCAAGTTCCATAGTGGGTTTAGGCTCCAGCTGCCCAGAGAGGTAACGGATTTGATAATGCACCCCTTATCAGTTCTTTCTCTTCCCTGTCAGCTTCCCAGTCCCCTACTGGGGTGTCCTAGGGTCCCCCTCTCAAGGCAACTACTTATGCTTCCACAGCAGGGTTCATCCACTATAGACATCCTGGGCTCTGGGGGCTTTCCTGTGCATTGTAGGACGTTTAACAGCATCCCTGGCCTCTACTAACCATCCAAACTAAGACAATATCAAACGGACATGTGGCCCAACTCTCCAGAAAGAGAAATGGCCTGTGGATCGTAGGTTTTCACGTCTTTCCTATAAGGTAGTCTCTTTAGTGTCAAACAGAAATAAGGTAAATGTTTCATTCGATGGATGAAATTAATTCCTATGTTTATTCAGTGAACAGTTACCGAGCTCTTACTCTATGTTAGCCACCTGGTTGAGGACCTAAGACACAGCAATAAATAAAAATAAAACAGATGCATACATAAATGAAAATAAGATTTAAAAAGTAAGAGACAAATGCCCCACTGTAATGAAGCTCGATATCATTTTTGAAAAAACAATGGAGCTTCCTCTGAGATACTAGACACAGTGCCAGTGGTTCTCAAAGTGTGTTCCATTGAGCCCTCAGTTTGAGTCAAGGAACCTTGGAGGCTGCTGTCAAGATAGCGTATCGAGATGAGGAAGATCGCACAGGCCAGACTTAACTCAGGATGCCGAAGCATTGCAGGGACAACCTGCTGTATGCTCCACAGCCAAGTGTTCACGAACCTCAGAGAATTGATAAGTAGGTGAAATAATTTCTTTACTACCTCTCGTCAGCCTGCTCCAGGACAGATGGCTCAGCCTGACCTTTTAGTTAGATGCCAGCTAATCAGTTTACCCCCCAAAATCTAAGACTCCTTGTTTTCAAATGGGAGGCACTGTTCCTTTCTTTCCTTTCTCCCTTCTCTCTGAAGAATTTTGTTTTCTCTCTACCCGTTGATAACAGTTTGCTGACTCTTCTTATGTGAGCAAATTTGCATGCAGGTTACTAACTGTCTGAGTTACTCTTTGATAGGGATAAGGGAGATGACCAGTGTCATAGTGCTAGGCCCCATCTCTCCCTTAACAAGTTCCTACTTTATCTTTTTACATATTGGGGCTTGGGGTGATGTTTTGTTTGCCAAAAAGATTCTTTCCTGTAAAAAAATGAGAAGAGAAAAAAAAAATCCTACAATACCGTATTCACTATGCTAACGTGACTCAGCAGTGGGCCAGCAAGGGCTTTGCTGGGAGGGACACACTGATCAACCGGGGTGGG